CTTGTTACTAAAACTAGAAAAATAAAATATGACAATAATTTTCTGTAATGCCAAATAATATTCTGCCATTGTTAATGACACCAGTATATTACTACTAGTTGTCAAAGAAAAGAGACAGTATATTACTACTATCTGTCAAATAGCATGAATCACTATTTGTTTTTCCAACCAGAATATTACTTTGAAAACACAGAAAATTAAATACAATGAAGATATCAAAAAAGGAATCTGTCTTAAGATTGTTAGTCAATCTTCACTGTATTTAATTAAGTTAAATTCTGTTGTGTATAAAACAACAACAAGAATATAAAGAAATAAAGAAAATGAGAGAATTTGTTTGATTACAAAAATCAAACTCGAAATAATGAATAAATAAATAAAACCACAGATTTTATTTTGTTACAAAAATAAAATAAAATCTGATTAAATAAACAAATAAAAACAGAATAAAATTAAACAACTTGGTTAATTTATTTGAATAACTTTTCTGATCAAGTCCAGTGTTTAACACTGCGTCCTTAAGACAGATTCGTCCTCTCCACGGTGCTTTCAGAATTTGGACGTCTATCTCCCAGGATAAAATGATTTTATCAACGAATAAAACAGCACGTTCGTCGAACACACAAAGTGTTTACACTTTTTCTTTCAGAAATAAAATGCAGCAAAATGCAGAGATTTAAAGCAGAGGATGGAGTACGAAAATTGGAGTGAAATCCAAATTGGAGGCTAGTCTATTTATAGATGTAAAGGTGGCTCTTGGTTTTGAATTGAACAGGTATGAAACCTGTTAGTTTCAAAATTTAAACAGATTTAAATCTGTTGGGTTAATAATTCAAACAGATAAAAAACAGGAAGGGCTCTGTTTGGATGAACAGTAAATCCAAACCAGTTTAATTCTGTTTGAAAAATTTGAATTCTGGATTTTATTTTAATAAAAATAAAATTAAATTCAAATGTTTTTGGCCCAAAAAGATTAGTATTGGGCCGAACAAGCCCAACCCAACCACACACCACGCACCCGCGCCCAAGCCCACCCGACCGGCTGGCCGGACGAACGACGGCGGCGCGTGTGTGGTGATTTTGGGTCCAATGGGTCTAGCCCATTTTACCCATAACTTCTCCATCTAAAACACTTGGGTACCCCTTGGGGCACACCCCAAGTATCTCACCCAAGCCTTATAAACCCTTTCAAAACTTCCTACCAAATCAATGTGGGACAAGCCAATTTACAACCTTATGGAATTTCCACCAAAACTCCATTTCCATGGAGCACACTTTGGCTTCAATTTCTCATTAACTCGGTAAGGGTTTTGAGCAACCAAATATACCACGTGAATCACATTGCGGCATAGAACGCGTTACCACTTTGACCCGAGTAAATCGACACTCGGGGCCCACCTAAAAAATAGACCAAACTTGAGAAAAAATTCTGGTTTTACCCAGAATTTTTCTACCATTTCCAACAGACACAACATTATTTTATGAAATCATTTTGTTCAATGTTCTATGGGTTCAAATTCAAATTCAAATTCAAATTTCTCTAGGTTTATTTTAACTAATTTTTTCTGAATTGTAAAGACACTATTATTTTATGAAATCCAGAGAAATTCCCAAATATTTGTGAATAGAGTCGGAGAAAATTTCTCTGAGTTGACAAATTTCTCTGGCTCTATTCACAAAGAATTTCTCTGACTTTGTGTAATATGTAAGCCAACAATACAATTTTTACTAACAAATCCACAAATTTCTCTAGTCTAAAACTAGAGAAATTCTCTTCAAACCAAACAGATCACAGAAATTCTCTAAATTGAAAGCAGAGAAATCCAGAGAATTTCTCTCTATTTGCAGCAGAGTTGTATCTAACTTGGATTTTTCCATCCGAAACGTTGAAAAATGAATTCAGCTTTCATGTTATAAAGACTGTCGGGGAATCATATTTTTCTTCTATACTCTTCTGGTTGCTACTTTGGAAGATTCATGCCCCTCTTTTCAAAACCACAACCCACCATAGTGGATTTCAGAGAGATTTTATACGCAAAATCTTCATCTAGTTTATAATTGATCGAGCCTAAGGAAAAAGTGATTTTACATTTGTGGCCAACCAAACACGAGCATTTTGTTATTAGATTATAAACAAATATTACCCAATGCATTTGGATATAGGTCAACCACAATCCATCTGTTTATCTCTAATCATATATCTCATCAATGATAAATACGAAGGTGCTACATTTGAACTGAATCAAAAGCTACTTTGTTTAGTCTGCACGGAAGCCTTACTTGGATCTAAATATAGCTAAATCTGAAACTAACTGTTCAAACTGATGAGAGGAGGTCAACCTGGTATTAATTCATATATGAATTGGGTTAGTTTGCTAGGTTGGATTCATACCTGCGTTTCTTTTATGAGTTGAGAATGGATGGAAATCCCAGTATCTCATTATGTGTTAGAAGAACAATTTTGCATTTTAAAAAAGCTTCAACGTTTATTTCTTACCTTTGCTTGATAGTTGATACTTGGTGTCCTTTGCAGGCCAACACAAAAATCTTATAACATCTTGCTTGATGCGTTTGCAATCTCTGGAATGGTGGATCAAGCTCGAACTGTCTTTAAGAGCATGCGAAGAGACAGGTAACCTTTCTTTTTTTCTGAATATGATATCATACACTGGGCTTTTCCTTGAACATGTCCTAAACTAAGGATAGAAGTATCATTCTTAGACAGTAAAATTTCATTCTTCCTGAACCCTTTGTCTCTCACTCTTCTCTTCTGTAATATGTTTTTCATTGTTTAGAAGTATAAAGAGCAAGTCAGTAGGAGAGAGATAGATCTAGGGAAGGAGAGAGAGAGAAAAAGATCTAGGGTTTTGAACAGGTAGTGGAGATCGACAAGAGCGAGAGAAGAGCAGTAGGATAGAGATATCAAATTTCTTTGTGAGGGACCTTAGACATCAAACAATAATATTATGGATTTATTTCATTATCAAAACTAGGAGAGGGACCTTAGATAAATGGGGCACAATAATTATATTATTATATATCATATTTATCTTAAAAAGAGACGAATCTTAATATAAATAAATGACTTAGACAAGTGGGGCACAAGGGACAACAAACACATTAGGGAAAACAAACCCTCCTCACATTTGTTTTTCATTTTTTTTCCTTTTTATTTTTATACATTAAGACTTTATTTGGATTATAAATCTATGTAAAAAAGAGAATATTTTAAGAAAAATATTAGAAATAATAAAGCGAAGAAATTAAATCAATTTCTTTTTCCACTCATTTCTTTCCTTTGATAAATTTTTTCATAAATACATGTTCTAAACAGAATTTAAAGAAATACATTAAGCAACTAAGAGGGAAAATTTGTAATTGCATTTATAAATTCTAAACCCTATACATTAGTTCTCCTATGATTCTGAAAACTGCATACAACTCCCTTGGATTTATAATTACATTTCAAAAAAAATTCCTTGATTAATAGACCGTTAAATAAATTAACAGATTTAATTTGTGTTATCAGTTAATTTGTTGATAATATCTTATAGGAAAAATTAGTGAAATATTTCTCTCTAATTTTGTGTAGTATGAGAGGTCTAAGATGTTTTTTTTTATTAGTCAAGGTCTCTTAATATTTTTACAGAGAAAATTCGACTCGGAGAAATTTTAATTTTTACAAAGAAATTTTAAAATTTCTCTAAAAAATTAGAGAAATTTCTCTGTGAAAATTAAAATTCTTTAAGTCAAGGTTAAATTTCTTTGAGTCGGGTAAAATTTTTCTGAATCGAATTTTTTCTGTGAAAATATTGAGGGACCTTAACTATTATGAAAATATTATACGTCATTTATCTTATAAAATCTTAACATCAAAAACTTAAAAAAAAATTCTCCTATCTTAAATATCTCTCAAATAGTGAGAGAGAATATATTAGCTTAGGGTCAAACGAACCCTCATCCCCATCCCCATCCCCATGACCCACCCTCTTCCTCCAAGTTAAAAAAAAAAAAAAAAAAAAAAATTTACGTTCTTTCCATGGCGACGATTTTTTGAAAACATAATTTTTCTCACATTGTTTTGAGAACCTAGAGTCAAACTCCTACTCATAATTAATGAAAACATATAGACATTCTCGCATTGTTTGAGTACCCAAAGTCAAAACTCCTAGTAAAAGCTAATGTGCAAATTTTATGACAACATTCCGATTGCTCAAAAACTTGTCCGCTTTCTTGAGAAAAAAAAAAGAAAAAAAAAAGAATAGGATAAACACAGCAAAAGGCCATGCAAGTACATCAAGAACCTAGCTAGAATTAAAAACCTAGAGTCAAAACTCCTACTCATAATTAATGAAAACATATAGACATTCTCGCATTGTTTGAGTACCCAAAGTCAAAACTCCTAGTGAAAGCTAATGTGCAAATTTTATGACAACATTCCGATTGCTCAAAAACTTGTCCGCTTTCTTGAGAAAAAAAAAAGAAAAAAAAAAGAATAGGATAAACACAGCAAAAGGCCATGCAAGTACATCAAGAACCTAGCTAGAATTAAAACTAGAATTAAAACTAAAGTTTAATTTTTTTTTCACTTTGACCTTTTATATTTCAAATTTTTTTAATTTACTCCTAAAATTAATTTATGTTCAAAATTAGACAAAAAAAGTCATAATAACTGTCATATACATAAAAAATATATTACTATATTAGAGTTTTAGTTTATGTAAGAGATGTAAGTTATATAAAATAAAATATTTTTATATCACGTGACTGTCAATATATCATTTTCTATTTAATTTTTAACAAAAATTAACTTTAGGAGTAAAATGAGAAAAACTAGAAATATAAAAGCCCAAAGTGGAAAAAAAACAAAGCTCAAGGGCCAAAGAGAAAAATTGGCCAAACAAATTTACCCCATTTGTTAAGATGAATAAGAATAGAATGGCTAAAATCATCATAAAAGTGGATATAACAAAAAGGAATAGTAAAACTAAACTGATATGGAAATCAATCCAACACACACCAATCCATACTTCTAATAACAACATAATACCAAAGACTGCAAATTTGATGACTCGTTTATGTATTTGATCAATTTTATGACTAGTGAACAACATGAGTATCCAAAAAGGAATAAATAAGGGGAAAAAAAACTAAAAATAGAAAAAGAGGCAATTATTCTTCCTCTGTTGCATTCACAACCTCTACAAAATGAATTAAATATCATTTGTATATGTATTAAACCTATAGGCCAAAAGAAGAATCAACGAGCTGATCTGCAATCTATTTAGGAAGAATGTTCGCAAGAAGCAAGCACACAGTCATTGAAAAATTGGGTGAGCTGAGTTGAATATAATTTTGGGTCATTTCTGAAATGATCGACATGGGGTGTGGAAACAAAGTTGCAAGCCCTGACCTCATGCCCAGTCCTCCGCTGCTCTTCTATAAAAGACTCCACAGATCCTGCAGGAATCACTCTGTCTGCAGAACTGTAAATATATAACTGCGGACAGCTTGGTTGCCTCAATGTCAACAAGCCCAATACCTCAGAGAGTCTCCTGAAATTTGATGAAAAGATATAGATGTCAATACCAATATCAAGTTCAAAACAAAAGGATGAACAAACATGACACATAATTCAATGGTTGGCCTCATGGATTACAGTGGTGCTACATGCACCAATTAATATACACACTAGTGCACCAAATAATGTTATGCTATTATTAATGATCCCACCTATTATACAAATTATAAATACCCAAAACTTCTAAAATTATGCCACATCATCTGTTAGTTAGTACATTAATTGGTACATATAGCATTGTTCCATGGATTAACTTCACAGAAGCATATATCAAAATAAAATGTACAACCCTAATTTAGTTCCCATTAGATAAGGGTCTGGGAGGGGAGTAGATTGGGCGCACACTTTGACATAATTTGCACGAGTGGCTTGCCCACAAGGTTGAACCCATCACCTTAAATTTAGTAGGCCAAATTTTTTTGAAAAAAAACAATGGATTTCGATTAATGAAATTTCTACTACAAACAAATGTAACTTTTATGGGGAAAATTATCAACACCCAAAAAAAAAAAAAAAAAAAAAAAAAAAAAAAAAACCACCACCAAGGTTTGACTCTTATAATAACAAAATAAATCTGAACTTTTTGATTTATTTTCAATCTGAACCATTTATCTATTTTCATTAAGTAAAATCGACAGAAAATTTAATATTTTAGTCATTAAACTCAATGAAAATGGATATTTTAGACATTTTATGTTTACCTATATTAAGTTCAATGGCTAGTATACTATTTTTTTTTGTCGGTTTTAGTTAACGGAAATAGACAAATAGTTCAGATTGAAAACAAATCAAAAGTTCAGGGCTTAGATTGACAAAATTAAAAAATCAGAGTTTTTACCAGGGTCAAAAACTGTTTTTTTTTTTTGTAATTGTCCCAAACATATATTACAATTTTCCAAGCAATTGCAAGTCAAACAAATTTTGCCAAATTTATGGAGAGACAATGATTGCCTACTTCAAGAAGATCAATTACCTATTTATTTTAGGAAGATTCAAAACCACCTCAAAGAACTTCTCCAACACTAATAGCAAAGCTGCTTCAGTCACTGCAGGTTTAGCTTCTGCAACTGTTGTTGCACCAATTGACAAATTCACACCTGGTTCATCTGAGCTTCTGACTCCTTTTGTTGCCACACTATTCTTTTTTAAGAAAGCAGCAGAGAAACCTGAAGCCCAAACCTGTATATAAGCAAATAAGTTTAATAACATTTTCCAGCAAGCTCACAAGTACAGAAACTCACAAGAAAAAATAAAAGAAGAACATCCTAACTCGGAAGTTCCAGAAAGTGAAATAAACAGTGGGACACCTATCAATCAAAATACCTAAGGCTTTCCTTAACAATCCCTTTGCCTCGAGACAAAAAAGCACCAATCAAAATGGTGAAACTACACCCACAAAAAAAAATCAACCCAAATGAAAAAAAGATACAAATTAAAAGCTTTCATATCTGATGTTGTGTTGAGGAGGATATTAGAGTCGCATAAATGTCTAGCAATAAACCCCAAATGGAAAATAAAAGTACAAATTAAAAGCTTTCATATCTAATAATAGTTTTGAATATACTAGAGTCGCATAAATGTCTAGCAATAAAGGGCACTTTCAATGAGAAGGAAGAGAAAAATAATGAAAGAGCACAAGGATACAGGCCTAAAAGAAAACAGAGAGAGAAGACATCTAAAGAACAATCACTGACAGTTCAAAATCTGCAAATGTACATGAGAGAATGCTATTGCTTGGCAAACACCTAGGAGATAAGAAAAAGCGGCAAAACATTTGCCCTTCAATTACAGATTCCTAACTTTCTCACGGTCAACATCTTATCGATCACCTTCAAACAGTCATTATGCATATGGCTAAACAAAATCTTTCACTAGCATTGTATCAATTAACATAATTTTCATAACAATGCGATCTTGTCCAAGCAAAACCAAATTAATTCTCTTAGAGAACCCTTTACTGTGTGTCAAATTAAGACTACCACAAGTACGAGAGATCAACTAGACAATAATACATTTCTTATGTACACTGAGAGCACATCTTATCTTGTCAACAATGAATCTCATACAATTGCAAACATCATTCACCTGTGGATCAGGGGCTGCAACAGGAGCAGAATCCACAATACATCCCTTAATTCTTCCCATTAGAGAAGGATCCTGTTTCTGAAACTTTTCAAGAATAACTCCATATCTGTAAGTCAACCAACCAAACAAATCAAGTAAAACAGTTAAAAGGAAAAAAGAAAAAAATATGGAAGTCATGCATGTGTATGAGAGAGGAGGGAGGAAGCAATGCTCACGTTAACCATCCCGTGTTGCTAAAAGTGTGAAAAACTAGATTCTTTCCATACTCCTCCTCCATCCAATCGGCAAGATGGTTAACAAGAGAGTCTATGTGTTGTTCAGCTTTTCCACCAACCTGGTAACTGAGAATCTCAGCCATAGGAAAAGTAAATGTAATGGCATGAAACCCTCTTGAGGTATACCACTCTGCATATCTGTTTAGATGCTTTTGCTTTGCACCTAACCATCCAAGTAAAATGACTACCGTCCTGGACTTCGCTGATGAACAATCAGCATTACCTGATATATCAACGGCCTTAGGCTCCGGTAGATGCCATCTGTACAGAACCTCTGATGATGAGCTAGAGGTGGGAACAGAATGTGTATATGCAGTTGGTTTTGCAGATTTGGCCAATTCTGCAGACTGATACGAGTTGAGCAGAGCAGGAGTAGAAGCAACAAGAGAACCCAAAAATTTTGGAACAAAGCTACGATCAGAATTGGGAATTGGTTGTGCTATGTTAGGAACAGGTACTGGTATTCTGGTTATAAATGACAAGTTTGCAAGCTTGGAAACTGATATGTTAGAGACACATGATGACTTTATTTCTTCTAATGAATCAGAAATAAAAGAATGGGATTTTCCTGAGGAGGAACTAGAATCTAATGATTTGGGAAGCCGCAATTTATCATGAATATCAGCAGAAACAGAAGCTATGGCAACAGCAGCAGCCGCAATTACAGGTCGTTGAAGGATTCCCGACAAGGAACCCATGATTGTGCACAAACTTCACAATTTCTCATACCAGAGCCAAAGAAACGCTCATACACAACAATTACCAACTCGCCAAAAAATAGAAATCCCGAAAAAACTGCAAATTTGAATTCAACAAGTATTATAATGACCCAGCAATCCCAGAACCACCTGCAAGAAACTAGCATATAAATACCCATGAACAAATTTAATAACTTTAGGTCCTACAATATTTCATGTTCATTCATTGACCAACAAAAAGAGCTTGGAATAAACATGAGGAAAACATGAGAAATATAGAAGGCCAAGTCAAACTTGGTGTAAACTGGTTGTTGATTGATAGTATGTGCTTACCTGGTCCAGGGTTTGGGGAAATGTTTCCAATAAAATCGGGCTGTCAAAATCAACACGTTGATTGACAGCCCGAGCAGTGCTAGACACGTATCGCCACCACCGGCTGACCCAAGAACACGTCCTGCAAGAAAAGGAAATAGAAATATAAATCGATTATTAATTTGTGATTCATTTACATAAAACACAAAACAGGGTATATTAGGATTATGAATTAAGAAATACAAATTAAAGAATAAAAGTTGAATAATGTATGGCTAGCGTTCGTCTTCAGGATGTGTCCAGTCCAGGCTAGCACAAACCCAAGAAAATTATTACACCGCTTGTTCTGTTCACCTTTTTTCCCTTGGCTTTAATAATTAGAGATGGTCCTCCAAACCCATGTGGGGCTTCCAAAGTCTGTTCACATGAATGGTAATATGGGGTTGGTTTGGTCACATGAAAAGGGAAAGGGAGGTGTTAAATAGGAGAGCTTCTTAATACACTTACCAATTTTCTTCTCAAAATATAAAGCGGGTGTAAGATAAATTTTTGAGCATATGGCTACCTCTCAAAAGACAATATCATACATTAAAACTTTTAATTGAAAAACCAAAAATTTTAAAATAGAGATCTTAAATTTGAGTTAGTTTCCCACCTAAAAAAAAGTCAGTATAAAAACAAATTCATACAAAAATTAAGATTGTTTGGAACCACTATTCAATCAGTTTTTTAATCTTTTTAGTGGACTTCTTCAATTTTTTTAGGAGCATTAATTGCACCACAGATTTAAAAAAAAAAAAAAATTTAATTGAAAAGTGTTTAAGCAGCTTTTTTTTTTCGTGTGTCTGTAACGGCTTTTTTTAGTCTCAATTCAATTTTCATCCTCGTAATTTTTTAAAGAAAAATTAAATAAAAATTGAAAAAGACCACTGAAAATGATTTTTTTAAACGAAAGCGTGTGTTTGAACCAACTTATTATTATTATTAGAATTTAAAAATGGAGAAAGCAAACATACGACAACGCGGACTAATTACGCTCAATTCACGAAGTTGAAACGTAAGATGAGCCGCTAATTAATTGATGTGCCATGCCATCTAGACAAAAAGCAAAGGGGCAAATTCTAAATGACAATTTTGCCCCTTCCTTCCCCTATGTTCCAGGAGGAAGGAGTCATGAATCTGAATATCAATAATCAATCAATCGATATCACTGATTCACGAATTGTCAAATCAAAAGTTGGAAATTGAAATCAGTCTAAAATTGTAAAGGAAAGAGATAGATCGACGACTACAAAACCCTAGAATACAATCACAAATGTAGATTTATGTAGATACTAGAAAACACCACACCTTGTATGCAGCAAACGGAAAGAAAACATGATAATGCTGCATAATCATCAAAACCAAAAAAAAAAAAAAAAGAAAAAGAAAAGAAGAAGACAGTTATGTTACCTGAGGAAAAGAGATTATTGAGAAGCTCTTCTGTGCTTTGAAAATAATTTGGATGTAGTTTGGCAGAGAAGAAGATGCCCAAGTTTGTCCTCTTTTCTAGGAGGAGAAGAGAGGAGAATAGAGGATCTTTCTCTTTCTATAATTCTGCACGCAAATAACGCTCTCTCTCTCTCTCTCTCTCTCTACATATATATATACGCATATGATGATCGAGATACATACATACAATACAATGGCATATCTCTCTCTCTCTTCTTGGAATTCTCAACTCTCCCTCCTGCGTGCTTCTTCTGCCACCTTTAAAATTTGGAAAATGATGTAAGTGTCAAATTTTTTTTTGTCAAATGAATGATTAAGGTTTCGTTTTAGAATATGTTATTTTATTAATTTTTTAATTTTGTGAGGGGTTGTTTGAGATGATCTAAATAAGTGTATTTTTTGTCTTTTTACGAAAAGATGTGCAGAAAAGTAGAGAGGTGATGTGATAGAAAAAAGATAAAAAGATGGATTATTTTGGATATGCCAAACTTGGCCTAAATATGAAAAAAAAATAGTATATTTAGAATAATTTTTTATGAAAAGATGTATAAAAAGTAAAAAAAAAATTAAATCTTTAATTTTTTAATATAAGTTGTTCGACTTTTTTTTTTTAGTGACTTTTTGACTTTCAAACTAAAAAGTGATATTGTCAAACGAGATCTGAATGTAATGTGGAGTCAACACTTAATGAATGATTAAAGTGTAGACTCCACACCTATGTGAGATATTTAGTCATTTATTTAGTAAAAAATTTAGGTTCCGTTTGGTAAGACTTTCTAACTATGATTTGAGAATATGAGTTGTATTTTGAGTTTATATGTTTTGAAATTATGATTTGTGTTTAGAAAATTTGTTTGGTTATGATTTTTGAATAAAGTGTTTAATTGAGTTTTGAATTGAGTGTGGAATTGAGTTTTGAAAGTTTGATTTGACATGTGAAGTAAGAAAATTTGTTTGGTTATGAGTTTTGAAAAGAGTTTTTAAAACTTAATTTAAATTGTTATAACTCATAACAAAACACACTTATTTCACACTATTAAAAATTCTTATCAACACTCATAACCAAACTCTTTTTAAAACTTAATTAAAAAATTTATTATTAACAGAAAATAACATTAATCAATTTTTTAATTGAAAATACTATAAAGGAAATAATTTTTTTTCAAAATAAATATTCAAAAAATTTAAATCATAAATATTTAAATAATTTAAATAATCTAAAAACTTTAATAAGTAAAAAATTAAAATAAATATTCAAAAAATTTAAATCGTAAAAATTTAAATAATTTTAAAATTTAATATTTTAAATTTAAAAACAACTCTACATTCAAATCGTAACCAAACATATAAAACAAAACTCAATTAAGAAATTATTTTTAAAACTCATAACCAAACACATAACTCGAAACTCCATGCTACTTTCACAACTCTACACTCAAATCGTAACCAAATACATAACAAAAAAATTAAAATATTTAAAAATATTTTTATAAAATAGAGTTTGAATTTATTTTTATAAAATATTTTAAAATTTAAAAAATTAAAATCATAATATTTTGAAATTAAAATATTTAAAATATTCAAAAAATTAAAAAAATTAAAAAAATCGTAACATCTTTAAATATTAAAATATTTAAAATCCTAACAAAATTAAAATATTGATTTGAATTGAGTTTTGAAAAGTAATAATTATGTTTTGAATTGAGTTTTGAGAAATGGGTATAGAATTATTATTTGAAAGCTCAAAACAAACACCACACTCAAATCAATAGGTGAAACTATAATTTGTGAGGCTTACCAAACGGAGCCTTAGTATCCCTAACATTAATTTTAAAATTTCTTTTCAATCTTATTTTTTAATAACAAATAAATGTTAAAAAGTACATTAAAAAGTGTAAAAAAAATATACAAAATATTTTAAAATTTATAATAAAAAAAAATTAGAGTGGCAGTTGTGTCTATGCACAACAATGTTGTACACACAATGGGACTTGTTTGGTACTACTTTGATAATCCAAATTATTTACTTTTTAGAATTGGTCAAATAAAATGCATTTATAAAAATTCAAATTAATCAGACATCATAGTCTTATGATTAAATCAAATTTGAACTTGAAAAAAAAAGGGGGTGAGTGTAATGTTGATTATAAATTTGAATACAAATGTTATTTGATCATAGGTTTATCAATATTTAATCATCTCGATTTTTTAAAAGAATATTTTACTCAGCGTATCGTAAAAAGTAAATAATTTAAATTATTAAAATAAGAGTTGAAATGAATCTCAACATATGTACATCAATGATTGCTATGCTTCGAATTATTAAATATTTTACAAAATACTCATGTGGTTGTGAGACTCATACGATCCCACATCCATGGGTCCTACACCTAAGTGAGTATTGTGTACATATGTCTCACATTATTTTTACACTCGTGTGAGTATTGCGTAATGTGTGAGACTCACACCACATATTACAAATTTTAAATGGATTATCAAATATTCTGTTGTTTTTACACTTATGTGAGTATTGCGTAATGTGTGACACCCACACCACATATTACAAATTTTAAATGAATTATCAAATATTCTATACAATACTCACCATTGATGTGGACCTACACACTACATCTTGAGTCCTACAAATATTGTATAGTGTGGATCCCACACACATATAAGTATTAAGTAAAATGTTTAATAATTCATTTAAAGTCTTTATTATTGTTCTTTAAATAATCTACGAAAGTTTAAAAAACAAATGAATCGGATTAATAAGGTAAGATTATGTAACCTTTATTAGGTAATGTTTGGTAAGTTGGATTTTAGAATTTTTTTGGTTAAAATTCATAAAAAATTAAAATAGGCTAAAATAATTAATAAGATAAAATGTCACATCAAATCCACAATTATTTCACTTTTTCTCTCACAAATATCACATCTCATTACAAAAAAATATAACTATCTTCCCAAATATAAAAATTTTAACTTACTAAAATAATCAAAAACTAAAATAACTTACTAAAATAACAACTTTCCAAACGTCCACATAAAATCAAGTAATTGTGGTGTCTTATACAGTTAATGGTTTAAACACGCGATGCATTTGTAATTTGAAAATAAGTAACTGAGAGGGTGATTTATGATCAGGAGTTGGGCCAAGGTAACGGCCGAGCAGATTGAGAGCCCGACGGTGCATGGGGCCGGGATGATTGACCATCCGCCAAGAAGTGGGCTGCCAGAACTTGGGCCGGGCAGAACTTGGGCCAAGTGTGAGCCGCCCCGGCCCAAGAAGGAGCTCGGCTAGATAGCGCTTGGTTCAACCGAGCTGCCTGATCAGGGGATGGCTGAAGCCAGACAAGCTGAGTGACCGGCGCCCGGAAAGGCGTGGTCAACCGAGGAGACTGTTTGACCGGCAGGAAAGCCGACCAAAGGAGGTACCCGGGCTAGGCTCTGCCGGGATGTCGCCTAGCCCGGCCCTCCATGTGTTTATCCGGTTAGGCGCTTGAGTATGAAGCATGGCATGGCCGTGGTAGAGCAGCTCGGCTGCCGAGCTCCAGCTGTGAAGTCAGGCAGTTGAGATTAGGTGATGATCGGCAAGGTTTACGCTGACAGATGGGATAGCAGAGCCACGTGTCAGGAGATGACTGGGAGTGGGTATGGGGCTCAGAAGGTATATAAGCATGTCTGTGCCCCCCATACGGGACACGAACATCTCTGTAAGGAATTCTTACACTAAAACACTCTCTCCCTTCTCTCTATCCATCCTAAGGTGTGTGCTAACTTGATCGTCGGAGGGTTTTTCCGGCCACACACCGCCGGGTAGCTCACTGTTGCTTGCTCGTAGGTGATCGGACATCGACGGAGCTCGGAAGAAAGGAGTACGGGCTTGCCGGAATATTTGCTCCCCGTACAATTGACGCCGTCTGTGGGAAGCTTGACAGACAAAATCTTGTCTTCCAGGTTCATCTGATCGCCGTCCATGGCGAACAACGACGAGTTTCGGTTGTCCGCCATCGATGGAGCAACCCCGGAGTATACCCGAAGGAGAGAGGGACCTCCTGCCATCCATCCAATGGCAGACTTGGGAACGCCCGCCGGAGGACAGTCAGGTGACGCGCGGGATAAGCGCGGAAGGAGTCATGGTCATTCACGGAGTCCAGACGGTCACCGGCGGAGGAGAGATTCACACGCCAGACGTCTGGAAAATAAGTTGAAGGACCAAGACGCTGTCATCCGGCGAATGGCGGCGGAGATGGAGGATCTGAAACGACATGTCAAAGGAAAAGGTGTAGCTGGAGTGAGAGACCACAGTGAGCGCACCGCATCCCGCCGTTCAGGCAGACAGAGTCAGCGACATACTCAGTCCATATCTATTACCAGAAGTTACGAGGTTGGTGATTCCGATGAGCGTGCAGAAAAGTCTAGCGCGCAAGACAGCACCTACAAACCCTCATGTCCGGCGACGACGTCGAGGTACTCTTATTCTGCTCAATCCGAGGATCTACGGGCGGTATTAAAGGAGCGGGCTCGCCGGCGCGAAGCTCAGAGAATACCTGCTTTCCAGCGGCTATCCTACGGGGTTCACACCAGCGAGGAGGTCGGAATGCCTCCACCCCGCCAAGCAGCGCCACTCCTAGTGGATTCGCGGAGATGGAAGATCTCAAGCGGCATGTCAAAGGGAAGGGTGTAGTTGGAGTGGGAGACCACAGTGAGCGCACCCCATCCCGCCGTTCAGGCGGTCAGAGTCAACGACATACTCAGTCCATATCCATTACCAGAAGTTACCAGGTTGGTGATTCCGACGTGCATGCAGAAAAGTCTAGCGCGCAAGACAGTACCTACAAACCCTCACGTCCGGCGACGACGTCGAGGTACTCTTACTCCGCTCAGTCAGAGGATTTACAGGCGGTCTTAAAGGAGCGGGCCCGCCGGCGCGAAGCTCAGAGAATACCTGCTTTCTAGCGGCTATCCTACGGGGTTCACGCCAGCGGGGAGGTCGGAATGCCTCCACCCCGCCAAGCAGTGCCACTCCTTGAAGATATGGACTTGGCCAGGCAGAGTGCCACTCATTTTTCCCTGGAAATTGAAACAACACCACTTCCGGCAGGCTTCCACCAACCTAAGTTCACACTCTACGACGGAAAAACCGATCCTTACATGCATG